CTGTGGTGCTCTCCAGGGTGCTGAATACTCAGCCAGTCCGCAGAACGAGCCGTGTGTGTCTGTGTGCGTTTATCCTTCCAGCTCTACAAACAAACCTCTAACAGACCTGCTTTCTTTCAAAAGGCCGACACAAACTTTTTGCGGACATGGACCTCCTTCCAGCGCAGGAAGCTGCCAAAATCTACCACACCAACTATGTGAGGAACTCCCGAGCCATCGGCGTCATGTGGGCTGTGTTTACCATCTGCTTCGTCATCATCACCATGGTGGTCTTCATCCAGCCCTACTGGATCGGAGACAGCGTCAACACCCCGCAGGCCGGCTACTTCGGCCTCTTTCACTACTGCATCGGCAACGCGCTGACCTCGGAGCTCACCTGCAAGGGCAGCATGCTGGACTTCGCTTCCATCCCCTCACCGGCCTTCAGGACTGCCATGTTCTTCGTTGGGACCTCCATGCTGCTGATTGTGGGCACCATGGTCGGCTTCAGTTTGTTCTTCTTCTGCAACGCTGGAAACGTCTACAAGATCTGTGCATGGATGCAGCTGGCCTCAGGTGAGGGACAAAGCGAAGAGGGTTGGTTGTAAAGTTGTTGTTCCCTTTACTCAACTGCAGTTGGCAGATTATTAGTATAAATTAGCTTTTCTCAACTACGTTTATTTGACACCTATAAACAGACAGATTACGAATTACATTAAAAAGTATGAGCAGTGTGAGTAATCATAAAACTGGTTTCACCTTCATCTTTAAGATGTTTGTTTGTTTGTTTGTTTGTTTGTTTGTTTGTTTGTTTGTTTGTTTGTTTGTTTGTTTGTTTGTTTGTTTGTTTGTTTGTTGGGGGGAGGGTTGTTACAAGCAAGAATATTGCTACGCATGGGTAATTGTTCATATGCGATGATTCATTAGACAGTAACCAAAGATAATTTTTAGCTTTTGCCTTTTTATAGTTTGCAGTGAAAAACTAACACTAAACTCACTAAACTCTAGGATCAGCTAAAAAAAAATAATACCGCAGACATTTAAAGCTGATTTTAAACAGTCCAGATGTGACAGAAGTGCAGACTTTGATCTTTAATTCAAGGGGCTTATTAAAAGTATTACAGCCGTTCATAAACATATTCCAACATTTTTCGTAGCTGAAAAAATGAAATGGACAAACATTTTTGTTTTTTAATTCTTGGATGAAAACCCTTTGCAGTCAGTGACTGACACGGATGTCACTAAATCCTCCCTTGAGGTGCTCTGCCAGACCTTTACTGACCTTCAGCTGCTGCTTGTTTGTGGGTCTCTCTGCGTTCAGTTTCGTCTTCAGAAACTGAAAAGCATTCTTTGTGGGTTGTGATCCAGTGACTGATTTGGCTGAAGAATATCACATTTCTTTGCCTTGCGAAGCTCTTGGCTTGGTTTTTCAGTATGCTTTGAGTCATTATAGATGTTTACTTGGATCCTTACTGCCAAGTCTAATGTGGCTTTATTGTTCTTGAGTGTAACCAGTGGTTTGTGCTCTTGATGGTAGACTTTGACAATGGCACACCTACCTCCTCAAGAGACAGCCTGACTTGGTCAGATGTTGGGAAGTTGTTTTTCTTTTAATATTGATGCATCACCTGGTGGATCTGTTAATACAATGGAAACAGACAAGGACAAGGAACAAAAGTTCTTGTGACCATAAATTACCAGTTTAAATAGAAGTCTGATGAGGTTCAGTTCATCGGTTTTATTATAACTATTCGTAAGTAATAGCTCAAATATTTCATCACCTCAATACCAGAACTCAAACTAAAGAGGCAGCTGTAAAGGAGCCATGAGACCTGTGCTTCTCTTGTAAGTCAGGTGTGAAACAATGAGCTCATCCCGTCACGGGTCGAGTTCTCACCTCTCCAGTTTCAGGTGTGATGTGCGTTTGTTGTGAAGGTTGTTCTTCGCCATGGCCAATAAGGAATCCTGTTTCAGCCCAGACTCTGACACCTTTGATAGCAGATCAGTTACCTGTAACAAGATCAGGTGTTGCTGTGTCGTTAAATTTGCACCTAAAACCATACGAGGGCCAGGAAAACGATAAAAGCCTGTAAAACTTTATGGGCATGTATCTGCAAACTCACATTCTACTGTAAGTAGCTTTTGGGGAAGCCCAGAGGAGACGTTACGGGAAGAACAGCATTTAAGATTTAAGAACTTTCATAACGGTACATCGTGCAAATGGCTCCACAGAGCATCATCTGCCTTGCTGAGCCATAAATAAATAAAAACTTTGGCACTTTATGGAGGTACATCATGTGTTATCATGCACTGGGGGCTCCAGAGCACCAGATTATAATTATTTATCAAAGTAAGAGCACACAAGAGGTAATTATTACAAGGCTTTGCCATTTCCATGTCCTTCCCCCGCAGGTGTGTTGATGGTGATGGGCTGCATGATTTACCCAGATGGTTGGGACTCTCCAGAGGTGAAGAGGATGTGCGGCCAGAGGACAGATAAGTACACGCTGGGAAACTGTACGGTGCGCTGGGCCTACATCCTGGCCATCATCAGCATTCTGGACGCCATACTCCTGGCATTGCTGTCCTTCACACTCGGCAACCGGCAGGACAAACTTCTGCCAGATGACTTTGAGCTGGATGGAGCAGGTGAGGGCTGTGGGGTGGTATGCAGACTGAATGCTGGGTATAGAAACAAATATTTTAATGTGTCATAGCTGGCATAGCACAAGTATAATGTGTGATATATAAAACAGCCACATTCCTTTCAGACTGGCTTGCTGCAAGGTCCTGCTGTTGTGCATGCCTGCTCTCTGTTAAGGCTTGAGCCATCATTAGAAAAAATTGCTTCACCTTAAGAAATGTATCCAAGATTGGAGATTTTTCTGCAGTTTTTTATATGCAGTCGTGTGAAAAAGAAAGTTACCACAGGACTCTTTGCAGGCCCGTGAAAAACTAAGTACACCCCATGTTTCAGTATCTTGTAGAAGCACCTTTAGCAGAATTACTTGAAGTTGTTGTTTTCAGTTTGACTATATGAGTCTCTCATGTGTCTGTGGAGGAATTTTGACCCACTCTTGTTTACGAAAATTGCACTTCAGTTCATTGCAGCCATTTAATTGTACACAGATCTCAAGAAATCCCACCACAGTATTTGAGTCAGGTTGAGGTCCGGACTTTCTGGGCTTTCAGTTTGCCATTACAGCTGTTTTCTTGTAGATTTGCTGCTGTGCTTGGGATTCTTGTCATGTTGAATGACCCATTTTCAGCCAAGCTTCAGCTGTCAGACAGATCCACCACCGTGCTTTACAGTTGGTATGAGGTGTTTGTGCAGACATGCCATGTTTGGGTTTTTATGAACCACCAAATATCTTCACTTTGGTCTAATCTGTGGACAGGACATTGTGCCAGACGTCTTGAGATTAGTTCAGATGCAACTTTTCAAAGCTAAGTTGTGCTGCCATGTTCTTTTTAGAGAGCACAGGCTTGCTTCTAACGATCCATTCTTAATTGTACTGTCATGAACTTTAACATTTAGCTTGCTAACTTAGGCCTGTAGAATCTGAGATATAGCTCTTGGGATTACTTGTAGTTTCTCTGAGCAGTGCACATTGATGGGTAGCAACAATTCCTTGTAGATATCTTTTCTCTTTGTTAAACACCCAGTTGCTCCAGATCTGCAAACTGCTACAGCTTCTTTTATAGAGGCACTCACTCAGTTATTCAAGTTGGCCTTCAACAAATTTGTAATTAGGTTAAAAAGTTTTATCCATAAACTTTGTCAAATGAGCAGTTTTACAGTTATTTGTTGCCATAATTTGCCCAGTGTCCCAGTGGCTGAAGTCCATTAAATCTTTTTCTTGTTAAATCTGCTCCCTTTAGGGCTTACCCACAGAAAATCATTTTCCTCCATCTCGCCTGATCCCTAGCTTTCTTCTCTGTTACACCAACTCTCTCCATATCCTCCTCTGCGCTCTTTCCCCTTTACCTCCTGCCTGGTAGATCCATGTTCAACATCCTGTGTCCAACATATCCAGTCCCTTCTCTGCACATGGTCAAACCATTTCAGCCCTGGTGTCCACAAACATTTCTTCTTTTGTTTCTCTTTTACAGAAAACCCTTGATTGAATCCACAGACCTTCAGAGCCAGTGTAAAATACCATGATGCACTTTGGGTTTTCACCTCTCTTGTCGTCTAATGTTTACTGTGGTTTTGATTAATAAGATTTTGTGCTTCCTTATTTTACTATATATATTTCACAATACCCAATAAACAAGCCCACAGAAATCATGTATTGTATGAAGATCTGTTTTATTGTATGGTGTGTTGTACAGCTTTGTAAGTCGACAACTCACACAGAGTTTATGTTCTTGAATCTGACACCAATGTAAGTTTTTGTTTTTCCCCCCATAGGTTTCGACAGATAACATAGGTTACTTGGATATGATCTTTTTGGGACACCATGACATAATATCAGATCTCACCATTTCTATGGTAAAAACAGTGACATTGAACAGTTGACCACACATACAACTGATCTCAAACACACCTTCCATACGCTTTATTAAAACACAGCTACCCAGCTAAACAATTTTAGCTAAGATATAAGATTTGTTAAAAACTGTACATAACTGTAATATACATCAAGGCAAACTCTTTGGTACAGATATATACAGTTTATTTTCACTTTTTTTTTCTCCTTAAGATTGGGCTTCTTAACATGTTGTCTTGTTGAAACCTTTAAAATACTATATACCTGAATTGTAATAGGTGGATGAGAATACCAGCCTCCCATGAAAATGAAAGATCCCTATTATAATTAACTAAGGATACTAAATACCGGGTGACAACGGAATCGATATGGCTAAACATGACCTACTTTAATCAAACAGTGACCCTGCCTGAAGAAATGCATGAAATGAAAGTTACCCAAAGTCAGTGTACATGTCAGCCCAGTGTGAAACTTCCTAAAACCTTCATTACAAATACAAAATGTATTTCAAATGTTGAATGAGATTTGTTTTTTAAGTCACTACTGAAAAGATGTGGGAAAAGAGTTTTAGGGAACAAAAATGACCAATAACGGCTACATATCCTTGGTTTGTTCAGGTTTTAGTGCAGGAGTGTAACAAACAAGGATGAGTCACTAGCAGTACAATGACAGACTTCCTTAGAAGGGTGAACGGAGCACAGCAGTTTGAGCCAACATGAGCACAAAGTAATAATAAAAAATAAAAAAAATCCACTGGATTCCTGACATCACACTGAGAACCAACTAATTCAAAGCAAATGTACACAGAAGCATTAGCTCAAAAACAAGAACAAATTCAAAACATCTAACCAAAAAAAGAAGAAAAATAAATATCCATCTGATATGCCCAAACTGGAAAGTGATCTGTTGCAGTCTCTGGAGGAGGTGGGAGGGAAGGGAGGTTCGATAGCTGGAGGTGTCCACTAGAGGGCGAGCCAGGGGTGGCGCAAGCACTCTGCGGCCGTGGCCCTTTTCTCTGGAATAAGCTCCAGCATGGGAAGAAGGAAGTCAGTGAAGCACTCTGCTTCTTCACGGGGCCACTCGTATTTGTCGATCAGCACCTCCAGCAGTCCCCACGGCTTCAACTTAGTGATGTGTTTCAAATCACCTGCAGACAGACAGCACTGCATCAGAACCACACCACTACAGAGTACAACAACTTCCCCATTTTAAACTTCACTTCAAGGGCAGTCATGTCTGCATAACTCCACATACAGTCTTAACAATGACACTGATTAAATAGTTACCTTGTAATTGCCTTTTAAAGAAGGCCTGTTCTTTTGAACTGTAATATCCACTGGAGACATTTTTACATGTATATTCAAATGTATGAATAAGCAGCAATTGGGATTCAAGTAGGGAATATTCCAAAGCACAGTCAGTAACTCTCACTCGAATCTTGACAGTAAAGCTTCCGTTTTACCTTTCTTGGTGAAAAAATCCTTGGAATATTTGCCGGACATTATGAGTTTGCGTGGGACACTCCCCAGCAGCTCAATGATCAGTGCTATATGGTCTATACAGCAGACAGTTGCAAGAAAAAAGACAGACAAGACAAACAGATTCATCAGACAGTGGACCCAGTCACAGGCCCACTCTGGGTGTGTGGGTGGAGGGCAGAGGGAGAGAGAGGTCTGGGTGACGTCACACACACCAGCCTCACTGTTGGCAGAGGACGTGGTGTAAAACCAGAAGTTAGAAAGTTATAAAACAGAGCAGTTCATTAACCTTTAGCTCTTTTTTATTGTTCAGTTTGGGGTTTTTCCACTAAAGTTTCTCAGAACAAAAATAATTCCCACCACAAATTCACCCTGCAACTAGATTGACAAGACAGGCCCAGATAATGAAAATCATGTTTTTGTACTTCGTGTTAATTATTCATCAACTTCGCTGTCATTTCATCCGTAACTGTAACAGAGGTCTTAACATTTGCAGTAACCTTGGTACATATCAACAAAACAACTCCCACTCAGGGACCTTAAAAGGTTTACATCAAGACTGTCAGTTAATCCCTTATAGACATCCTTAATTAAAGCCATCTTACATTAATTATCATATTTCTGTAAACGTGTACTTTGAGCACATTAAGACTTTATATTCTGACATAAATACACTGACGTATAAAAGTAAAGGGTTCTTGCCTTTTTTGCCTCCTGTGATTGATTTCATTAAATGATTAAATTACATTTATAAAAAGACTGTTGTTGCACAGTGGACTCCATGCAGAGGAAAAAGGTCATTCTGAATCTCCTCAGCAGGGACCAATACAGCATCAAGCACCTAGCCAAAATGTCTAAAGGCAGTGTACAAGGCTCTGCCAGGCAGTCTTTGGCAGAACACTTGAATCGTGATCAGTGGTTCAAAGAGGCTGGCATTTATTGGTTTCTTGCTTTGATGACGGGCCTGCACAAAACCATTTGATTGTGCTGACTGAAGTTAACCTCCTCCCTTGACCCTCCTTGTCCACCTTTCCCAGAGTGAGCCAAAGACAGAGGTGCTGGCGTACCTCTCTTGGTGAAGTATTCCTGTGAGTATTTTCCACTCAGAGCATAGTGTCGGGGGATTTTACCGAGCAACTCAATCATGAGAGCAAGATGGTCTGGAAATGAGGCACATCAGAGGAGAAGAGGAGGAGGAAGATGGAAAGTCACAGGGAGTTTGGAGAGGAGATGGCAAACAGTCAAGTGGAACAATGTATTAGGAACAAAGGATGATGATGATGATGACAGCCTAGTGTTACAAGTAGCACATGTATCAACAGCCTATATTAACCTACTGAAAACATCTGAACACATGGAGCTCATTCACTGTTGTATTTCAGAAAAATGACAACTATAAAGCAAGATGGGAAGTCTGCATTAAAGCACAGCCCTCAAAGCTATACAGTAAAACATAAAAAGCAGACTGATGCAAGTTTACTAAAAGTCTAATAAAACGTTAAACACAAAGCATTTATAGAACAGTAAGCCATGGTTTATGCAGGTGAAAAAGCTGCAGGATGTTCCAGTAAAGTCAAAGTTGAAGGACAGCACAAAGCAGACATGCCAGAGCAGAATCAAGTTAATATGGAAACTTTGAGCTAAGCAGCAAGCCAAAATTCCATTTTCACCTTATGTTTCAATTAGGGCTGTTCGATATAACGATATATATCGGATGACGATATAAAAACATCTATCGTTTCATTTTACGCTATCGTTTGTTTCGTGGTGTCGCAAAATAAACTGTTTACGGCAATATTTTTCATCGTTTTGATGGTCACTGTAGTGGCTATATTAATTTCTTAAAGTTCTCTCTTTCTCTTATATTTAATATAACCACACTACGGACGGACAAGCACCTGTTTTAATGCGTTGTGGTTAGCAACAACGATGGTAACAGCATCGCGTGTCCGCTTGTTTATGTTCCACATAAACCTTTCACAATAAAGCTCAAGATCCTGTTGAGACTTTTCAAAATAAACTGAATCACGTGAAAGAGCAGATTATTTACGGATGAGAATTAAAAAAAGAGCGGCCAGGTGCTAAAAAATAAACCTTAGACTCAAACGTTAGAACAGACTTTTCCCCGCAGCACGCAGTGTAATAAATACTCACAAAGAAAACGGCGGCCTTTACAACTTATGTCTAAAAATGTATCGTTTCATGCATCGGTTAAAACACTCGACTCCAGCTACACGACGCGCAGCTGGAAACACTTCACGCAAGTCGAGCTGCCCGAGATTCACAGAATTTACAGAAAATGTTACATTTTTGTGATTTATATCGTTATCGGACGATAGAATTCTTATATCGGGATATGAGATTTTGGTCATATCGTACAGCCCTAGTTTCAATTAAAACTTGAGGTGAAAATGGATTAAACATAAAGTATGAGTAACCAGGAGGTGAGGAAAAGGTGAGAAGAGAATTGAAGAGATGGCCCCATCTCCAGTGCGGTAAAGAAGTGGCTCAAGTTGCTAGATAGGAAATACACACAGGAATGCTCATACTTTTCATACTTTACAATTCTTCTTCTGAATTCGAAGCCATTAATGGAGCACCTCATTAACATGTTAACACTGTGCAAAGTGCACTGTAACTGGAGCTCCAGTGAAGGTGAGGACTTGCATGCATATTGGACATTTTAAATAATTCAACAGTTCAACACTGATAACAGAAGATTTAACAACACTATGGTGCTTTTAACAGTAGCAGTAATACTAAACAGAAGTCCCACTCACTAGTGAAACACATTTCAATACATCTACTAAATCGAGCTCTGAGAATTAATGATCTACAGTTAAAACTTGTACTTTAAAAACAGAATGTACAGGAAGACCAGACAATACCTTCATCTCTGGAATAATCTTCCCCAGAATGTGGTTCAAACAAGTAGTCCCCTGTGGCAAGCTCAAAGGCCTGAGGACAATACAAACACAGGGAGGGGAAAAAACAAAAAGAACAGTATGAAGCCATCTGTCCAAATCTCAATAAATCCCTCCCACCACTGACTAGACTCTCATTACACTTCTTGAGTCTTTAAGATACAATGAGGGTTTTTTTTCCCCCCCTTCAGATAAATTTTTTTTGTTCTATTCAGTTTTTGGGGGGAGTTTAAGCACCTTTTGGCTCTATATAAATAGTTTGATGCAGAGAAAATTTCTCACCATACAGGCTGTGCTCCAAATATCAGCTGGTGTGCTGTATCCAGAACCAATAAGTACTTCTAGAGACCGGTACTGTCGTGTCTGGATGTCTTCAGTAAAGTGCTTGTGCTGAGAGGAAAAAAGACAAATACGAAAACAACAACGTATATCATGTAGGTTTCATCATGTGTAGCGATAACACACTGAAAAACAGAAATATTTTACATGAGAATAAAAAATTTTGAAATTATAAATGGACTCTATGCTCTATTTGAAATCTGGATCACACTCCCATCTGGTAAATGATTTCTCATTTTAAAACCATAAAAAGCAGGAATACCGAAACATTACTTTCAGCAGCTAGATGACACTCGATGTCTCCCTGGCTGTACCGTTTCATCACTTATGAGGAAATCCCTTTGGTCATTAGCAGGCTACTCACCACCCAGCAGGCATTTCCCAAATCTGCAATCTTGACCTTGATCTTGTCTGCATTGAGTGGCTCAAGTGGGTTAACTAGCAGGGATCCTGCTGTCAGCTTACCTTTATAAAGCACAGAGAGAAGCAGCGACATTGAATAAAACAATGGGATAAACACTGAATAAATGATAAGTATAATCATAAGTAGTTCAAAGTTCACATGGTTTTTGTTAAATTTCCAAAGCAGCTCAGCTACAGCAAACAGCTTCTAAAAACCTAAACCAATCGATTTCGGTTCACTGACCATTTCGTGCATCTTCCTGGCTACTATAGTGACAGTTGGACCCATCCTCACCATCTTCTTCTAAAATGCCTTGTTCCAACTCTCTGTCCTCCAGCCCAGCAGAAAAGCGTTTCTCAGTAACTCCACGGCTACGAGCCCCAGTTCCTTTAGTCTCTGTGTACACATCATTGAAATCTGTAGACTCAACACCGTTGTAAATGGAGTGGAGAGGAGACTCCACGTGTTGATCCTCTGGAGAGGCACACTGTTCTGTGCACTCTGCATTGCCATTATGTTGGTCTTCATCGCTATGCTGGAAGTCACTCTCCTCCACATGGCCATTACAGTTCATTTCAGACAGTTCCTCTGGTCCCACCCTCATGTGATCTGCATTCAAAGTGCTCCCTGAAAGTAGCAGAAAATGTATTTTCAGTTGATTCATATCAGATTTTTTGGCTGCTTTGCAAATTTTGCAGAACACATTACTTCTCTGATGTTAGCGTCTTACCATCTGTTTCCTCCTTTCCTATCTCCGCAAAAGACACCTGTCTGAGAGGCGCACAGGCTCGTCCCTTTTCAGTCTGTGGGTCGTCTTCATCTTCATCATCCTCTCGTATCTCTGTGGTCTTTTCCATTTCCTCAAGGTCCAAGATGCACTTCTCCAGCAGCTCCGCCTGCCGCTTCTGCTTCTTTTTTAACTTCTTCTTCTTGTTCTTGGACATTTTTACTGTCTGTCAAAGACAAAAACAAAGGAAAGGTTTGCACATTTGTAGGACTGATTTAAAAGTAAACTAAAAAAACCAAACCAAACCTAAAAACATGAGGCTAATATCTAAGCAGAGAGTAAAAAAAAAAACAAAAAAAAAAAACAAGTCTTGTACCTGTTTTGGAACTGGCGCTGTGCTTACTGTAAAGAGAACATGAGATAAGTAAAAACCTGTACTAAACCTATGAATGCAGATATAAAAGTGAGTGTGCATGCACATCTCATACTCGCTGAACCAGAGGGAGGAGGTGCCCCAGCCTTCTGCCACTCTGTGGCTTCAGCTGCAAGCCTCCGTACGTAAGGCTCATCTACGCTCATCAGGATGTTCTCCGGCTTGATGTCTGTGTGGATAATATGACACTTTGTGTGCAGGTAGTCCAGACCTTGGAGAACCTTTAAAAAATAAATAAATAAATACATACATTAATGGAAAATGGTTATCTGATTGTGTAGATCAAATTAACCAATCACACTGACTTGGACACAAAACCTTTACCAACTAAACTTAAGGAAACTTTAAAAAGAAAAACATATTGCATCAATTTTCAGGTTTTTCTTTTCTTGGAAACAAATATACTAACTTTGCACAACTCAGAGTTCATAAATAATCCTTATTAATCACATTTGGCTTTGCCGCAGTCCGTCAGTTTATCCTCTCTGAAACACACTATTTTAGCTCTTCTCTCTTTAAAGCAAAGGAGCCAAGACTAGGAAAAAAGAAAATCTTAAAAAGAATCCCTAGGGCAGTCTGAAGCCAGAGCGTTTGGTTTGTAGTTAATACACAATGATACTATCATTATTTTAGCCTTAGTGCTGCTTATTGAAAATCCATCCATGTAACAAACACAGCATATAACAGAACATAAAGAAAGCATAAAAGGGTCCCTTTAAGAGAACACAAAAGCTTAACAATCTAAGAAAGTTTTAATAAAAGAAACATTTGCTGTTTTTCAAAGGACATCGAATAAAAAGCTGTGGAATAAACAACACTAATCCACAGATGAGCTGTGCAATTAACTGCTGAATTAGTCATTTGTTTAACCATGAAAAAAAAGCCCCCTCAGTTTTGCCTCACTCCCAATCTGTTTTGTTAAGCAGCTTACTGTTAATATGTAAAGTTCTTCTACCCTGACTGTTTTCCATCCATCGTGCAGCCTGCAGGCTACACAACTCTTGTGAACGACTGAGCCTTAATGATGAGTCATAGGCATTCAAAAGGTGTGCCTGTGGGTCTCACTTTACCTGCCGTATGATGCTCTTCACACAAGCCAGGGGCAGTCCTTGGTAGTTTGATTTTATTATCCATTTCAATAAGTGATGTCCTAACACCTCAAACACCATGCAGACGTCTGAAGATTGGAGCAGTTAAGATGGCAAAGTAATAGCGGTAAAGCAAAACTGAAAACAAACAAAGGAAAAAACAACTGCCTAAATGAGGAGTGGCATTGATTGTGCTGAAGAAAGGACACGTAGATGTGCAACCCATACGCTTTTGTTAGAGCCTCTCGTGTTACAGCTACAGCAATCCCTCAGGCATTCAGGGGATCTTACCCAACTAAAGTGTTGTGATGGGGGTGGAGGTCTGTTTAAGATAAGATTTAAGATAAGATTCCATTTGTCACACCCTCACCTGTTGTTTACTTTCTTACTTGCGTACGGCTTTTTAGCTGACATGGACACGAAGGGAAAGAAAGTTCTGTACATTCAAAAAACAAACAAAAAAAAACAACCCATTTCTAATAAGACTAAAGTTTTTGTTTTGGGGACTTTCCCCCTCCCAGCAGGAGGTAATTTGACAAATCAAATGTGACTAATAATAAAAACCAGGAAACATCTGTTATATCTGGCTGTGAAGGATACGAGTTCCATTGACGCCAGAGATCTTGAAGTCATCTAGAAGCTGGACTACCATCTCTCGGTTGGGATCATTCGTGTCAGAGTTTCTTACCTACAGACAAAAAAAGAAAAAGAAAAAAAAGAGAAGAAAAAAAATATATATTTTGTTGTGGGATCCACACACATCATTTACATGTAAAACTGTGTGAACATGCGTGCTGGAAGACATGCAAGCCGAGTGCATGAATAATGTGTAAAAGCTGTAGTGTAAGCAATGCCCTGCTGTCCTTGCACCACGTTGCTGTACACTCTGATGCATCTCCAGATATCCCCACAACTAATTAGTGAACACTTCCTGCGCTTACTGATTACATATTTCATCAAAACCTACTGCATGCAATTAAATCTGATACTCACAGATCTGAGCAGTTTTATCTCATCCAGTGCTGTTTCTGTGTAGTGCTCCGCGCTCTTCACCACCTTCATTGCAACAAACCTCTTTACCCTGCAACCACAGAATGTAATGTTCACTAATAGGAAGCAAAGTAAACCGTCTCTGAGCCAGCTGCTGCTGCATCTGGAATCCAATGTCAAGTCTCAAAAACAAAACATGAATTACAAATATGCAGTAAAGTTTTTCTCATACTGAATATCCCAGGCGAGCCACACGGTGGAGAAGTGTCCCCAGCCGAGCTTCCGAATTACATGGTATTTTCCATTATAAAGGTCTCCTACTTTCACATGGTGGTAGCCACCTAAAAGATAAGAAATTCAAGCTGCTTAGATAAATAAAGAGGTGAGCATGTATGCATGTATACAGAACAGCCAGTGCATTTACATTCACTGTAATAACAGGTCACAACTAACCAAAGCGACACCATTTATTGAAACAGTCAAATCAAATATTGATTTATCTGTTTAAACTAAGGTGCGAATCGCTAATACTCTTATCATTTTTCTACTGGGGAAAAAAACAAACAAACAAAAAAAAACTTGAAAGAGTAGTTAATCAAATACAGTGCAATATAGTGTGCCTTTGAATGCAAAAAGTAAAGAGGAACCCACCTTTGCAGTAGTCATTGGGGTCCTCCTGCTCTTCATCATCAGAGCCAAGGATCTCTTCAGGTTCCTCAGGTTCCTGAGGGGAGGCTTCAGCCTGAGGATGCTGTCGAGCTCTGGGATTGGCTGGCTGCCTGATGGGACAACAACAATTATGAAAGACGTCGATGGAACAGAGCTCTGATGCATTTACCGTCCATTTATCAAATATTAGCTCAACAATAAGGCGTGCCCAGGATGAGAGGATTTTATTACAGGACATGCGGGTGAGACTAACTGAACAAGACTGCAGCTCATTGATAACCGATGAGTTCGACTCTTCTACATAGCAAGAAAGAATCAAAGCTCAACCTTTTACTTCCAAAAACACTGCAGAAATGGTGAACAGCTGTACAGTTTAACTTAAACAGATGCATTACAAAGCAGTGGGAACGTTCTCCTGCCTCTCCTGGGATCTGACCTTAATTGGCTGAAAAAGTAAGTGGCATTAACTAGCTAGCATTAGCAACTGAGTAATTCACTCTAACACTAATACTTTACTGAACAACATAATCATGTTAGCCAAGCACCAACATAGAGTGTGCCTGCTCTGGATGATCAGTCACAGTGATGGACATAGATGTTTCAAAATCACCTCCTGTATAAACGGCTAACTAGAGACAGGAAGAACTTCCTCATCAGCCAAGTTTTTTGTTGCATAAACATAACCCATATAACAGCATTTATTAAAAAGCCTCTCACACAAAATAATCAAACATGACAAGAACCACTCGTTCTTAAACAAACGACACCAGGGCTGATCGCAAAAAATAAATAATTGGTGCACATCTGGTGTATGTATAAAGCTACAAATAGACAACTGTTTTATAAATCTATCATAAAGGAGGGTTATAACTGTAAGCATCCACAGTCACATTTCAATCACTGAAAATGTGAAATGTCAACCACAAATAAAACTTTACTCCAGGGTAATATGTCATCTTTCATTGCAGACTTCAATTAACCCACAACTACCTCTTTAAAAAAATAAAAATAAAGAATGTATATGTGTAATATGAAGAAACTATAAATTAACTTGGGTTGAGGTGAGGACTCCTCATGAGGTGACATGGACCTTGCTTTGTGCACTGGTGTTGGAATAGGAAGGAATCCCCAAACGGTTCCCACAAAGCTGGAAACATAACATTGTCTTGGTATGCTGAAGCATTAATAACCGTTTTCCCACTTGTACCTACTTGGGCCGGCTCACAGTTTTTAGAGTTTTCCATTAGGTGGTAGTACCATGGTAATAGGCAATTTTAGTACCTACTAATTTTTGAAACGTGGCAACGAGGAAAATGGAAAGAAAAGAGAAAAAACAAAAAAAAAACAAAAAAAAAACCCAACAACTCCCACTGTGGTCCCTCGAGATTGGCAAAAAGTTGTACTCCGAGCAACAGGTCTATGCTTTTCCATTGTTGTGGTGATCATGACGCATACAAATACTCCACGCATGTTAAGCGGTAACTTATTGCAATTGAAAATGACCGAAACAGAGTCAAATCATGCAGGTACTAGTGAAAAGGGGCTAGAAGAGTTCCTTTCACTGAAACTAAATGGCAGAGCACAAGTTTTGAAAAAACAACGTCACACCATAGTTCCTTCCCCAACTTTATACTTGGCACAATGCAGTCAGATAAGTTCTGTTTCTCTGGCTACTACCAAACCCAGACTCATCCATCAGATTACCAGACAGAGAGAACAGCATGAGTCTTCACTCCAAAAAACTCCACTCCTCTAGAGTTGTATCTGATGCGCTGGACTGTACTTGGTGACATGAGGCTTGGAAGCAACTGCTCGCTCCTGGAAACCCAGTCCATGACGCTCTCTGTAAACTCTTCTTGAGCTAATCTGAAGGCCACGTGAAGTTTGGAGGTCCGTAGCGAGTGACTCTGCAGAAAGTTGGTGACCTGTGTACTATGCACCTCCGCATCTGGTGACCCTGCTCTGTAAATTTATGTGGCCTACCACTTAGTGGCAAACTTGGTGTTGTTCCCAATCGCTTCCACTTTATTATAATACCACTAACAGTTTACTCTGGAATATTTAGTAATGAAGAAATTTCACAACTGGACTTGCTGCACAGATGGCATCCTATCATGGTACCACGCTCAGGGCTCGCAAAATCGCTAGCCCGACGTCCCGGGGCTAGCGATTTTTCTGGTCGGGCTACCAAAATCCATCTCAGCCCTGCCCGTCAGGCTGTCATAGGAAGAAAAAAAAAAAAAATATGTCAATGCTTTTGCATTCTTTCACAAACGTAGCTGTCAGTATGTGACATATTGAAATCGCGTTTGAATTTCCGCTTGTTTTTTGCTTCACTTTGCGATAGCGCAGACTGAATAGAGAGCGGCAGCTACTGACTGGTGAGTGACGGATTAATTGCGCACCAATTCCTCTGACATCGTCTTATCACTCATTAGCTTACTATTCAAACGTGACAAGTGAAATCTCCCGCAGCAAGCTTAAACATGTGATGCAGGTTGAATGCGCAGAGAATCGCTGATCATTATGCAAGTGCCTGTGTAAAAGCAGATTGATTTACGCAGGTATTTTAGTTCTGCAGAGCCAAATAAGACAGGTGAGGGTGAAGAAGGGACAGCCAAAGAAAAGCCGACCACAAAACGGAAAAGTTGTGACAAATCAGGCTATGAGGCAAAAACAAAAGTGCAGCTTTTTTTTGGTTTCATGGACAAAAGAATTTCTGTGGCTGGAATATGACGAGCTAAATAACAATGTTCTGACGGGTGTGTCTTGAGTTTCCCTCGATTTCCTAGTTGACAAGCACCTTTGTTACTGGGACCAGTAATTTTAAGAAAGACCCCATTAGAACCCATGAAAAATGCAAGAAATGCATTATTGCTCAGTCTGCAGTATCTTTCCCAGAACAAACGCCAATTGCAAAAAAACTACTAAAAATAAACCAAGCACAACAAGAAGTCCAGAAGAAACGCAGAAGAAAAAGCTGTTTAGAACAGCGCGATGTTGCAAAGCGTGAACTACCTTTGGCAAAATTTAGCAGCCTTTGCAAACAAAGCAAATGGCCTAGATCTTGGTTCCACTTACCTCTTACCCGTGACTTCAGTGGAAATGTCAGATTCAGGATCTGACACAGACTGATCCATGTTCTACACAGTTCTTACAAGTTCATAGAAATTTCTGTTCAATTAGGGCCAAATATTTGAGTTGATGATTGTATTTTTTTTACAGTTGTTGTAATTTGTGTTTTAACAATTTTTTAAGTCAATCAAAAAATTGTCCTTTTTTTTTTTTTTTTTTTTTTTTTTTTCAGGCTACTTAAATTTATTTTGGGCTACCAAAAACTGAAGAGTGTCTGCCCGAAGCGCTACCAGAGATTTTGAAATTTTGCGAGCCCTGACGCTGGATTTCACCGAGTTCCTGAGAGCGAGCCACTGTTTCACAAATTTTTATAGACAGTCTGCAGGTGCCTTATTTTATACATCTATGGACATGACTGGAACACCAGAATTCAATGGCAGAGTGAGTATTTTTGGCATGTAATGTTTTGGCATATGACCATAAATAAATAAAACAGTTTTGAAGTATTACAGTAGTTTGACAGTTACTTAACCAAACATAAACCCACATTAAAGGCAAATATTTGCAAGGCAAAACAATAGAGCAGTAGCAGATAAAAGTCCATTAAAGTCATAGCAGGCTGTTAATTTGGATCATGTCCCCTTGAAATTAAACCACAAGTTTCAGTGTAATTGCCTCCAGTTTGTTGCTTTGACCTTGTTATCAGTAAAGAAAGATTAATGAGCGACTGTTCCAACCAAGTTTAATTAGTTTTAACAAAATAGCAAGGTGTGTCTAAAACTTTGTTTCAAACAAATCTTGCAGCTATCTAAGCAATATTTAACTATTAAAATATTCACAAACGGTTATTATATTAATAAAGACTCCCAAATGTGTAACCGAGCGCTGGCAGTGACAAACTGCAAGCAGAAAATGGAAGCAAATACCATCTAAATCGCTGTCAATGATTTATTTATTTATTTATTTTTTTAAACTGGATTTGAACATCTGCTTTTAACCATAGTTTAAACCAAAACAAGAAGTTGGCCTGTCAAAACAACCCTACCACAATAATACCACACTGACGCGCTTTCTGCCAAGGAATATCACACAACCAAATTAAAGAAGGCATTTAAAGAAACGCATGCTGCACTCAGCTTACTTTACTGCAGGCCTAATGTGTGCGTGTGTGTATCTGCATTATGAAAGACAACATCAACCTTGCTGAATCAGACTGAATACTGAGAAGTTTCCAGAATAAGGGGACAGAAAACTGTGGCTACATTACGAGCAGAAGTACAAGCCTGCAAACAAATTATGTTCCAAAATTACTAAGTGAGTTATACGGTCATTGTGTCAAGCAGTCAGACAAATGAAACGTCTATGCATATTACATTTTTCAAATATAAATCGCTGTGTGCAGACTTTCATTTTGACTAAAACTCCAGCGACAGATTGATCAAACCCAACATAATGGAAAACAGGACAACCAATTCTTTTCTAAATGCATATTTGAAACATATTTCTGTATATTTTTTCCATGGCTCTGCAAGCCCTAAATAACAGAACATATTCTTTCCATGTTTATATGTGTCACCACATACATTCTGCCTTTGCCAGTAATTCAGTTCCTAATATTTACTTGAAAGCCAAACAGCCTGATGTTACTTCCTCCACAGAGCAGATTAAGCCTGCTCATCTCTACTGGAGCCAAGAGAGCAGAGATCACATTCAACTAAATTCCTACAACTGGGCTGCAGTGTTTCACAAATGAGCTGCTGGTTTTCTACATAATCCTGCAACCTACTTCTTTGTGCCTGACATGGTCAGCTGAAGCGGTGCATGTTTGTCCAAGGATGACAAAATAAACTGATTCAAATAATTACTTGATATGAATCTTGACTTTCTAATCAAGCTTTGAATCTGAAACGCATTCATTATATTTTAAATCATAAAGCTGGTAAAAACAAGGCAGTAATTTAATACTGATTATCTGTACAGTTCTCGTGTTGTCTGCTTTAACATTTACACTGCTGGATTATTAACACATTTTAAAACATTTTTTGCATCTTGAGAGGTAAATGCATGGCTTTTCAAATTCACTTCAAAATGCAAATAAATACATCGTCTAAATTACATACTCATGCATTTTCATTCACAGAGAGAAAGCAGATGAAGCATATTTGAATGCAGAGCCAGTCTCAGTTAGTCATCCTTTCATTATAAAAAGCTTTAATATTGGGTGTGTGCACCTTGTTTTAATGAGCCTCATCCTTTTGGGTGTGAGGACAAATGTCTGATGCACATTTTCCTTCAGACTCTCACAGCACTTCAAAACATTAACCAGTCCACTCCATTATATCCTCTGAGGTTGTTTTGTTCGTCTATACATGCAGTGCCCATTGTGCTAGGATTACTGCAGAATGCAGCTGCTCTGCTTTAAGTTGCATTTAGTTTCTTGGTATCACATGATTCTTACGGCTAATAAAACATTCAAGTATGCGCCATGAAGATAATGCTGTCAGGAGGAGAGTATCCTCAATGGTGCTGTTTTCAGTTAAACACCATGCTTCGGTGGGCTGATGTGGGCTTCTTCATTCTCTTGTTTTAAATATAGCACTGGCTGTTATGTAACGCTCTGGAGGATGCCACTGGTGCAGGCATGATTAGTAGATTGTTGGGCACACCAAAACAATCGGTACTGGAGATCAACGCTTGACAGCCCTATTTACAGCAACTAATCATTCAGAAATATTTTCAGGTGATCACAGCGTTTAAGTATTATATTCCTGGTATGGCTTACAGAGCACCCAAAACTTGTGTTTTTTGTTTTTTTTTTTTACTAAAGCACTGTAGAGCAAAAAGAATAAGCTGTGGCGTGTGCAGACCAAAACAAAGTTTAAGTGCAAACAAGCAGTCAAAGGCCTTTAACAGCTTCTCCAATGTCAGAACAGCAGCAAATACACCAAAGTGCAACAAACAATCTGCTTTGATTGAGTACAGCTGACAAAATACTTGTTCATGTGCGGGTGTCCTGAAAAACGGGACACACATAAGAGGGAATGACATTTAAATGGAGCAGTGACTCACTTTTTGTTGGTTTTCTTTGCTTTCACCCTTTTCTTCCTCGCCTGGAGTGCCAGCACTGCAACAACAACAAAAAGAATAGAAAAACCATTGTCTGTTTGCCTTCTTGATTTCCAGCTGACACTCACGACAAAACAAATGAAGCCATCTGAAATAAACAATTACCTCACTCCAACGTTCATATGCACCGTGTTGGGTCATGTTTGCACCTAACAGTATCTAAAATCAGTGTCAGTGCATGTGTCGGTTTGCCAGAACCCATCCAACGTTAAGTTACATCACTGAGCTTCCCACCTAGGCAACGCTCGTCTCAAACACGGTAATGTGGCGTGAAGTGATTTCAGCCACTACAGCGGCTAATTATGGACTCATACATGAATGCACGGTTATCGTGGCCGGTGTTACGGGCTGTGTTTAAAATGGAAGGAGCTGGAGAGCTAAATGTATCGAGCTAATCCTGACATGTCCTATTGAAGCTAAAGCTAACGTCTAGAGGGCTAGCGCTCCAGCTCAGTGCGCGACAGACGCGTTCAATTAAACCGCGTATCACAATGTATGCTGCTCGGCGAAAAATAATGTTTTTATATTTGTCACTGCACGACAACATCGACTGTAACGGCAAACCGCACACACAATGTGTTACACCAGTCACACAGCGTGCAACGTGTCGCAAGATTTACCTTTCCTCTCCATGTCGGCTGGATCCGTAGCTTAGCAGTTAGCTACACAGCCAGTGATCGAATGTTCCACGCATGCGCACTGGCTTGCTATGTCGAAGGGAAGCTTCTCTGGTGACGTCTCTGCCCGTGTATCAAACCGTTTTTATGGATTTTAGGGCAAACTGCCTTATAAAGAAGTATTTAAAGCAGCCTCACTGATAGCCGTGCAGCTCAGGAATTTAACCTTTTATTTACCTTTCGTGCATGTTTTAACTAAGGCAGCAGTGTAGGTAGGTGGGTTAAATGAACGGCATGATTGGTGACGTGATTCAGTGGTTTGTGCCCAGATTGGGATTAATATTAAAGTGTTGGCAACCTTTGTTATACTGGATGCTGATAGCAGTACAGAACAAGCTGACTGCATGGTTTGGTAAAAGGCAGACTGGAATTTACATAGCTGGACACTTGATAGAATTGGCAGGCTCAATTTAATAGCTTCTATATTAGTATTACCAAATATTTTACACGGATAACGAAGTGCAATATTTTTTATCATGTATTTTTTTTCGGACATTACAACATCAACAAAGGTTTAACGTATAAAGAAAATCAATGTTTAATTTACAAGCCAAGTGCAAGATTATGCAACTGAAATTGTCACACTGCCAAAAAAAGTGAAAAATATAATTTATTTATTTTAAATGTACTGGGGGAATGCATATTTGATAAATTCATATTAGGTTTTAGGGACATAATACAGCACAGTGGTGGGCAAGTGGTGATTTGGGTTTGTGTTGCATCCACAGCACATGGATACTTTGCAGTCATTGAGGTGACCATGAATTTCTGTGTCAGTGTGTGTGTGTGTGTATATATATACACACTAGAGATAAATGTGAGGCTGTCTGTCTGACAGCCAAAGTTTGCCTCATGCAATACTAGACTGATCTCAAGCATAGCAGCAAATCTACAAAAGAATGGCTTATGTGGTTGCAATGGTCCAGCCCTAACTGATATGCTGTGCTGGGTCCGTAAAAGGGCTGTGCGTAAATTAATACCCACAAACCTCAACGAACTGACGCAAATTCCTCCTCAATGATGTGAGAGGCTGGTAATCACACAGAAAACTATTACTTCAATTTACTGCTAAAGGTGATTCCACAAGTCCATGAATCATGGTAAGGCATCATAGTTAGAGATAAGTGATTGGCTTGGAAATAAGGATAAAAAATTAAAAACAAAACAATCTCTTAGAAATAAGTCTTTATTTTGTTAAACAAAGGACTTAAAGCAGTAGTTACTCTGCAAAATTGAAAATAGCTCAAGGGATCCTTCGATTGCTTATAAATACCAGCTCCACAAAGTATAAATACAAATCCCTCCTTTTACACATTTAAGCTGCATTTTTATTAAAAGCTATGGCACGACACTTAAATTCATATAAACCAACAACACACTAGCGAACACACACAATGTCTTGACGTACATGCTAACAGTGATTGCTTCAGAACATGTGTGAAATTTTAAAAAACATGGAACATATATATTTACACAATTTGAGCAAAGCATGTACTATGCAGATTTCTCTTCATATTTATGGGCCTTGGTGAAAATAATAATAATAAAACCCTACATAGGAAAAGGCTCAGAGTTCATCTAACTAAATTAATCAAATTGAACAGTAAAATGTGAGAAATCTAGTTGGTGAGCATTAAAGTTCAGTGACTGCACAAAGAAGGCACATTGTCCCAATTGTCAAACACCTAAAAACACAGAGATGTACGTCTGTCACAGAAATTCAAGAATCGGGGGCAACTGCTTGGAAGTGGTTCACTAGCAAACTCCTTTTTCAACTAACAGAAAAATGCTCATCCATAAATTAATCAAAAAACAAAAACTAGCACAGCAATAGGTCAAAGTGTTTCAGCATCTCAGCGTCACAGTGAGGAGTCGAAATAAAGTCTAAATATTAAATAGAAAACTATTTTAGTTGTTGGCGAGAAGGGACGTTTTCCAGCAACTGACCAACATTAAGTCATTTATAAATAAGAATAACAACTTTTTTCTTATGTTTTCTGGTTATGTTTTCTCAATAGACTAATAAGGGCTGGTGTGTGTCTGAGACTTTAAAGCACAAGTTATGTAGTCAAAAGCTTGAGTTGAACTGGTGCTGCGTCTCATTACTCTGTGTCATCCTCATCATCAAAGCTAGGTGGCTGGAAACTGCACACCTCCTCAAAGGTTAATCCTGCAAAAAAGGAGAAGATGATTTGTTTCTTTACCGAGGAATACATCAGCATCCTGTCAGTTTTAGCGCGAGAAGACGTACGTTTCCACTCATCGATCTGCAGCTCCCGGCTCTCGAAGCTCTGGTCGTAAGGCTCGGCTTCAGGCTCGTCGTCTGGATCGTGGTATTGACCGAAGTAGGGGTGGGCCAGAGCTTCAGCTGCCGTTATCCTCTTATCCGTATCCAGAACCAGCATTCTCTCCAGAAGATCCACAGCTTAAAAACGCATCCGCATGTAAACATGACTGAATCACACTCAATCCCATTGTTTCTTTATGTAAACTTTGTAAATCATAGGGAAAAACCAGGTTCTCTTTGGCATTACCGAGTGGGTTGGCGCCAATAAATACATCAGCAAAGCTCCTCTTGGGCATGTGTGGCAAGGAGCTGATGTAGTTTCTGGCCTGTGAAGACACATCAACAGAGTAAACCAAACATGAGTTCCTACCAACAGCAACATGTCGTGACACATTATTTCATTTAACTTTTTCCAACCTGTTCGGCTTTTCGATCTATCCACATCTGTGCTGCGTTTCCTGATGAGTGCAGTTTACAGTCAACAAGTTCCTCTTGTGATAATTAGAGCATCTTTAAAACTAGATTTATGAAGAATTATTGAGGAACTTGAGCTTGTATTATGTATTGCTACAGAGTTCGACTCTTTGCCTGAAGTGAGACACATGCAGTCAAAAACCCATTAGTGCCTATGAGTGCAAGTGTTTACACTGCAAACCTTGTTTCTAATAAGATAAGATAAGATAACCTTTATTAGTCCCACACGTGGGAAATTTGTTTTGTCACAGCAGGAAGTGGACAGTGCAAAAGTTATGAGGCAAAAATTAGAATACAATAAGAATAAATACAGTACACAACTGTACAGAATAGAATAAAATAAAATACTATATACAGTAGAATAAAATAAAATAAATATACAATAAGATAAAAATAGAATACAAATACAAATACTATATACAACTGAGTAAAAATACAACGATGACAGAAAGGATATCCAATTCTTATAATGGCTTTTTATTAAATATTTTTAAAGAATTATAATAAAGTTTAAAAAATAATAAACCAAGTATCCTGTAAAAAGAAAGGACTGTTGTCTTTGTCTATTAGGGAAGCAAAGAAAAAGTATTACAATCATAATACTCTTCATAAAAAACCTCTCATGTAATTCAACGTGTGGTTTGAAAATAAGTGTGTTATGGTGGAAGAAGATGGCACCTTTCTAAGGGGGAAACAAAAAGAAAAAACACTGAACATCAAAATGCTGTTAGTAACCTTAACATTTAAATCGAGAAGTGCACTTTTTTTACATCCAACTCAAGGTGCTTTTTGCAAATCACTGTTATAACCACGTCCAGCAAGCACGTCACACGACACAGGAGTGACTGAAACGGTAAAATTCTGTGTTTAATTCGAGCTTTTTGCCCCAAGAGGTCTAGTTCCTCCTTGCGCCCCACTTGCCTCAAAAGGAGTTTGAGTTTTCCTTAAACCTTGAAGCTCTTTTTAAAATGTGGCTTCAAATATTAATACCTCCGCCATGGCGGTTATCTTATTGGTAGCGTTTATGGGCGTGTCATTCTGTCTGTAAACATGATAGATCGAAAAGTTTACATCCACCAAGGTCTTCAAGGTCATTTTCATTATTTATTGAAAAAAAGTCTCATAACTTATAATTCTTACAGGTGTGGTAAAAGTACTGTATAAAGTCATATTTGACCTCTAACCTCTGCTTCAAGTTCAACAGATTGATCTGAAGGCTAAAGTGATAATATATAGCTTACTGCCACTGTTTGTATTGACAATATATAGGCATATAATGATAATGAGGGTTCAAAATATCACATTACTTTGGATCTCTGACCTCTTCTTCGAGGTCAAGTAAAATATCTTTTATCTTTAAAACTATGATTCAAATTCCACTACCTTTGTATTGGCAACATTTAAGAAGAGATACTGGTATACTGGAATTCTAAATATCAACATAATAGTTTGCATCCAAATATGTCACATTTGACCTCTGACCTCATTTTTATATGTACCTTTCTTATAAGTTGAGCCTAAAATGTGTTTTATTTTTCAAGAAAGTGAAGAGAAGGAGAATGAGCTGCCTAGATAGTTGGAAATATACTGTCGAATATTATTATATAAGAAGCTCAAGTTATTCATGCACAAGTAACGTTTGGATTTTTGTAAAACAATTGAGTGAATGCTACACTTATACTACATGCACATAAATAATGTTTAGGGGCTGAGCTGTCTTGGCGGAGGTTTGCGCTCTGAGTGCTTCTTGTTGCTTTTGTTCTATTTTAGGATGTGTTAGTGTGGAAACCATCAACATAAGCATAAATTCTGAGGAAAGTCTGACTGTCCGCCCGCTGCTAGTCCGCTCTCAAGAAAGTACCTCTGTATCCTCCTCACCTCATAGCTGGGCATCCTGTTCATTAGAGTTGCTGTGGGCGTCCCTGTCAGACGCAGTATGTGCTGAAGCTGGTTTATATCTTTGAAGTTTGTGTCAAGGGGAGTATAGTGACAGAGCAGAGTTAGTTAAGAAGCTGTGTCTGGGGCTAAACTCCAGGTCACGAGTCTCCAAGCTTTGAGCCCAGAAAAAAAACAAAACTAAAGCTTAAGCATCCTCAGAATTAGAGGAAAGACACATGACAACACTTCTCATTACAGGCACACAGTGAAAGATGAAATCACCTGTGTAACAATAATCTCACAGCAAACACTGCTTAATGCTCTTCAGAGGAAGCAAAGCACACCCACAAGGCTAGAGGGTGAAAAACATGCTGTCATTACAAAGCAGATATTTCCAGCTGAACCACAGAGTGCAGAGTTTAGAGCAGAAATACGGTTAGACAGAGAGGGGGGAGAAAAAAAAA